GTTGGTTCCGCCACAATAGCAATGCTGGAAATGTCTATAAATCATAATTTTATTACGTGTATTTAGCTATTTGGGTTTCAATTCTCGTCTTGGAGGAAAGACGAGACGGGGGATATGATAGAAACATTTAAATGCATAAAGCGAATCAACACAGTAAAGGAGGAGACTATATTTAAAAGAAGAAAAACTACCACAACAAGAGGACATAGTCTTAAATTAGAGGGACAAAGGTTTAAAAATAATATCAGGAAGTATTACTTTACTGAGAGGGTAGTGGATGCATGGAATAGCCTTCCAGCTGAAGTGGTAGAGGTTAACACAGTAAAGGAGTTTAATCATGCGTGGGATAGGCATAAGGCTATCCTAACTATAAGATAAGGCCAGGGACTAGTGAAAGTATTTAAAAAATTAGGCAGACTAGATGGGCCGAATGGTTCTTATCTGCCGTCACATTCTATGTTTCTATAATTCCGTATGTGGTGAATAAACCCCCAATCTGTGGTTATTGGCATTGAATGGGGCAGGTAGGTGGGCATGGCTGAGCTTTATAGGATTTGTATGTTCCTTGTTACCTGATATGTAACACTCAATGTGAGATAGTCTGTGGATAGGGCTCTGGATTCCTGAACGTTCCCCAATTTACCCTTGCAAGGTCAGTGCAATGTATAACATTAAGTTGGGTAATAATAAGATCTGGAAACTAGTGAACAGATAATGTTTCTTACCTGCTGTGACGAAGTGCCCTTTGCCACTTGTTCTTGGAGAGGCCTGCTTGCCAGCCTTTTACCAAATGACTATGGCCCCTGGGATGTATGGCCCTTTAAAGACCCTATTTGGGCACATGGACTTTAAAAAGACTGTTGCTGGCCCTTTAAATACTTTGGGAAAGGATTGATACTTTTTATGTGGCACTTCGGATGCAGTCGAAGTGGCCGCCATTCGACAGCCGAACACGGTCAGCTGTGTTTTGCTGTCGAGTTCATGGAACTAAAATCGGATACTCGACAGCACGCACACCTCTGAAGTTTTACCTTCTCCAGACTTCGACTCAATCGACGAGTCGAACGCTGTTCGACTATTCGAACGCTGCATTAATACAGGATGTTTGCATGAACGGCACCCGTTCATGCATTCGAATGGGACTTATCCTTTTTACTGTGTTAAATATACTGACCGCACAGCCTAAATCTATGGAACTCTGCGTGCAGTTGGTCAAAAGAGGTTTCCACAAAACTTTAACCTCATGGTAAAGTTATTCTGTTCGTGGAATCTGAGCACTGTTCGCCTATATTGAGCGCTCAGATCCGAACTATCTGGGGATAGGTTGAATGTGGGGGTTCTGTTCAGTATAATAGGAATTATGTATTTTTATATATTTTTACTGTTATTATAAATGGAGATATTTTCTGTACCTGGCGATAATTGAGTTTACTACTGTTACTTAAGCCAATTATCTCCAGGATAGGGGGGGAGGGATTTTACTGTGTATTTGGGAGTGTTATTGTGTTAATTAGTGTTCCCATTGGTTTGTGTCCCTTTTGTCCCAGTCTACCACCAGGTCCTGGGGGTGTGCAACTGGCCTGAAAATGTGTATAAAAGGAATGTCTCTTGTGCTCATTAAAGAGATCATCTTTTACCTTCAAGAAGTTTTGCCTCATGTTTGGTGGATTGGAGAACTACACTCTGGGGATTGCTATAATCACTATACTCCCCTAAGAGCTTGTGCCTGTTCCTGCTCTCTGGAATTCGGAGGTCGACCTACTGGAAGCTGGACCCTGGTCTTGGGTCCAGAGTGGGTGGAGACGGCGAGATCCCAACCAAGCTGCGGCGGTTCATGGGGTCTGCAGTGGTTATGGTGTCAGGTGGAGTGCTTGGAGCCCTCGGAAAGCACTAGGAGCATCCGTCAGTGGAAGGTACCCGGTCGGGGTGCCAAGCGGTTCCGTTACACCTGCTGACACAGTGAGTTGGTTACCATAGTCTAATTTGTTGAAGGGAACCTACAGTCCCAAAAATAATAATTGTTTTTTTTTTCTGTACTATAGGATTCCTGCTATTACAGTGAGCTCTGCCCACCCCGTTAAATTAGATGTTTTTTAATCACTTTGTTTCCAGTCAGGAGACATCGCTGCTGCAGCTGCAAACAGATGTAAAAAACAGATAAAATGTTATCTTGTAATACCTTTTTTATTGGATACAAGATACGAATTTTATCTGTTTTTTTACATCTACATCACTGGACTAATACGGCTACATTCTCTACCTGGACCACGTTATTGAGATAACGAGGTCTGGCTGCCCAAAGCGGTCCTTTAAAGTGTCCTGAACGCACATTTTAACCAAACTGAAAGCATAACTGGCTAGAATTGTTCCAGGAATTTATTTACGTATTTAATGTATGTTTTTTTCTTAAAATTTTTCACACCGAACAGATATTTAACTTTTGATTATTTTAACAGTGTGGTTGTGTAAGAGTGGAATCTCGATGTTGCAATAATAATATGGGGAGTTGATGTGTTTCGGTATTCACAGGGTTAAGCCCCCCTTGCAGGTAGCGGGGCTCTGTGACCCAATCCTGGATCGTGCTATTCTGTATCTTAACGCTGATGCTCAGAATTCTTGCTAATGTTCTTCCCCTGCTCAGCCTCACACTCCCTCCAGCTCACAGCGAGGGCACACTGCATACACTCTGCTCCAGCTGCCACACTCGAGGTTGGAAAACTTCTCCTGTCTGTGTAGGAAGCCTTTAACGTCAGCACAATAAGCAGGAGCCCTCCTCCTTAAACAGAACTCGGCTCCGTCTGAGGAAGAAAAGGACTCTGAAAGCAGGGGAGGCTGCAGAGAAGGCAGAGGTGCCGAATGGCTGGGGAGATCACACATGGTCTCAAAACCTGCAGGTAAGAATGCTCACCTGTCCTCGCTGTCCCCTGAATAAGAAGGTGATGCACGCTCTATTGGCAGATAGTATCACCTGGGCTGGGCAGTTTTTGGGGGCATGGGTAGCAGAAAGAATTGGGGGGTACACTTATAGGCATCACCCCAATAATTAAATGTATTTTAATCCAATAAGAATCATAACCATTTTAAAATATAGATTATGTTATTAGGAATTTAGAGGCCACAGGTGTATTCAAACACCTCTTACTCTAAATACAAAAATATCCCAATACCTTCCACTTTCTACCTGCTGAAATGTAAAAAATTGTTTAAATGTTACACATTGCACAATTTGTTTTATCCACCTGTCCATCCCTCCATCTATTTATCCATCAGTTCCTCCCTTCGTCCATCCGTCCATCCCTCAATCAGTTCATCCCTCCATCTATTCATCCATCAGTTCCTCCCTTCATCCATCCGTCCATCCCTCCATCTATTCATCCCTCCATCTATTCATCCATTAGTTCATCCCTCTATCTATTCATCCATCAGTTCATCCCTCCATCAGTTCATCCCTCCATACATTCATCTATCTCTCCATCTATTCATCCATCCGTCCAGCCCTCCATCAGTTCATCCATCTCTCCATCCCTCCATCTATTCGTCCATCCCTCCATCTATTCATCCATCTCTCCATCTATTCATCCATCAGTTCATCCCTCCATCTATTCATCCATCCGTCCATCCCTCCATCTATTCATCCATCCGTCCATCCCTCCATCTATTCATCCATCAGTTCATCCCTCCATCTATTCATCCATCCCTTTCTCTATCTATTCATCCATCCATCCATCCCTCCATCCATCTAGCAAGACCTGCCTCCATTTACTTTTTCAATGATCCGTCTTGCTGATTTCGAAAGCCATAAAAGACTTACATGTATTACCCAAACTCGATTTAAAGATCTACAATGTGCGTCTTTTCATAGTCATTTTCCTACAGCTACAAAGATATATTTATCTCAACATAATGGAATGGTTTTAAGACTTACTTTGGTTTAAAAGGTCCATTATTTTGTTATGTAATGGACTCATTCTTTCCAGGAAGATGTAGGTGGGTATTAAAAAGATTCCAGCAGCTCAGTTCTGAAACCTTTAGGGTTATAATATAGAGATTAATATCTAGTGCTCATTTCACATTCAATGAAAGCTTTCGGTTTGTCGAACATGAGAGATATAGAACGATAAAAAATATATTTTTCAGCTTCTGAGTTTATTTAGCAAGTGCAGGATGTCATGCTGCTGTCTAGTAAATCCAGCAATGCGAGACAGCGGCTAGTTACGTCTTTGAATAGATTCTGGCACCTAAAGGGTTATATTTCCCTGATGTACTGAATAAAGTGCTATTAGCCACACTGAGCAGCACTTTCCTTTATCTCGACATCCAGACTCTTCTGAAATAAAACAGGGGAATCGCTTGTGTTACGAAGTCATTATTTTATGTTTTGGGACGGGAGAAAATATCACAAGTACCCAGGGGAATAGCAAAAGATGAGAATCCCCGCAAACTCTATTTCACCTTAATCAAGCCTTTAAAGCTTCATTTAGAGGTTTGTTTTCCATTGCATGACCTTATATCTGGGATGTGTACTCAGACCTTAGGGTGAAATGAGTCACGTTGAAAGCAATACATTGAGTAATTCTAAGCATTAGTACAAGACATGCTATATTAAATATAGAGACTATTGAAGGTACGTGAGAAGTTGATGCAGGTCCTTGAAGTTCTTTTCTTACAATGGCTGATACAGGATTTATTAAGGTTATTTGATTATCCCCATTCACATGTTTCTTTTATATATTTTTCTTGCCAGAGTGACAATTAATTTCGGCATCAAGGAGCTTGATCAATACCATTTTCCAGTGGTATTTGCAGCATCGGTGAACATGTGAATTGTAAGTTGAGGTTCTCGGTGACCTGATGGCACAGCTTGAAGGAAGTATTTGGCATTAAGGTATTGGTATCTTCTGGTCAGATCAGAGAGCTATTGGAACATGCTTAGAGCACAGAACTGGATTTTTCGAGTTGATCCTCTATCTTTCCCCATTTAGGAACTGAACCAAAGCACCATGGAGAACGTGTCATGGCTGAGAGACTCTGACACGTCCAACGCTTCCTGTGATTACACCAGGGGCATCTGTTCCCATAACGCCTCGATACATGTAGCTAGCAATGAGTTGTCCTCTGACTTCTACATCATTCTTCCTGTCATCTACTCTGTGATCTGTGTGGTGGGCCTGACGGGGAACACGGCAGTGATTTATGTCATTCTCAAAGCTCCCAAGATGAAGACTGTCACCAACCTCTTCATCCTGAACCTGGCAATAGCAGATGACCTCTTCACGCTTGTCCTCCCCATTAACATTGCTGAGATCCTCCTACATTACTGGCCGTTCGGTGTTGTCCTGTGCAAGATCATTTTGTCCATTGATCTCTACAACATCTTTTCCAGCATTTTTTTCTTGACGGTTATGAGTATTGACCGTTATCTGGTAGTTCTGGCTACCGTGAGATCCAAAAGATTGCCCCATCGCACCTATAAAGTGGCCAAAATCGTTAGTCTCTTGGTCTGGTGCCTGGTGATCATCATTGTGTTACCTTTCACTGTATTTGCAGGAGTTTACATGGATAATATGGAGTTTAAAAGCTGTGGATTGAATTTCCCGAAACCAGAAAGAACATGGTTCAAGGCCAGTCGTATCTACACGTTGATGCTGGGATTTGCCATACCAGTATCTACAATTTGTATTTTGTACATGGTCATGCTATACAAGCTCAGACACATGAGGTTGAATTCCAATGCCAAAGCATTGGACAAAGCCAAGAAGAGAGTAACAATCATGGTCTTCGTGGTCCTGGCAGTTTGTCTTTTCTGTTGGACTCCTTTTCATTTGGCCACAATTGTATCTCTGACCACTGACCTACAGGAGACATCGTTGGTCATTGGCATCTCATACTTCATCACCAGCTTGAGCTATGCCAACTCTTGCCTCAACCCATTCCTTTATGCTTTTCTAGATGATAATTTCAGGAAGAGCTTCCGAAAGCTGTTGGAGTGCAGGGCAGCTTGAAGTGTGTGGGTTTTAGATCTCCATCCACCAGACTCCTCACCGGCAGAGAGCCTTGAAGCAGGAAAACATGGTTTGAATGATGGTAACAAGAACACCATTGTTTGCTGTACTGAGGATTTGCAGCTAGAATCACATAATCGTGTACGATGACTTGCAGCCATCATTCTGAGTCAAAGTAAACTTTTGTTATTCTGTAAAGCAGCTCATTGATGTTTTAAGGCTTTTTGGAAGTGCTAGTCAGTAAAAGGTCACGATGATTTGAATAGCAGCGATTTTAATACACAGATCATTATAATATATAGTGGTTTTAATCCAGATGGGAGATTCTCATTGATACGATGTTACACACTATCCTGACACAAGTGCAACATTTAAGTTTTTATCAGGAGCTCCTAAAACACATTGTTCCGAGCTGTAATCAGTAACAGCAGGTTTTATATCCCTGTAATATGGTTTTTATCTAACTGATAAAATCAGCAAATTGATCACGGTTATTTCTGCTTCAGACCAGACTGGCATTTATCGTGTACAAGTCAACTAATAACTAATCGCTTATTGTGACATCATAACATTACAAAATATATTGTCATTTAACGTCTAACATCTCAACTGCTCACTGTGACATCATAACATGTAATATGATGTCATGCAACTCCTTATTGCTGATATTGTAACTCATTCCTGCTGGCATCACAATAGGCAATCTGCTATTCAGCTTACACTAATGTGTTAACATGCAATACTCTTTAACTTAACCCCTTGCTGTGACATCATAACAAATAATATACTATCACGCAATTCTTCACTGCTGACATCATAACTGCTCCCTGCTAACATCATACCATGTAGCATAATATGTTGCCCTTTATGTCATCATAATGTGTAACGTTTCCCTTTAACATCCCACTGCTGAGAATTGCTGCACCTGTGACATCAGAATACAATATGCTTTCATGTAATTCTTCATTGCTGACATCATAACATGTTGCCATTTATGGCATCATTATGACATTATAATGTGTAATAGTCGCTGGTGACCTGACAATTTGTGCACGTAACTGTAAGATTATAACATACTGTCATGTAATTCATCACTGCTGACATCATAACGCCTCCCTGCTGACATCATAACATGTAACAAGTTGCCTTTTAAAGGATCACTGTGACATCAAAGTGTGAAGCCTTTTGCCCCTTAATGCCCCACTGCTGAAATGACAATTCCTCAATTCCTGCCCCTCAATGCTGACTTCACATGTAACTTAATGCTCTTTATCGCCTCACTGTGACATAACATCTATTGTTTAACCCTCAATGTGCCTGTGTGCAGCATTCCACAATGTGTCCAGTTTATTTCGCCTCCATGTAGAGCGTGCTGGCGTTTGTGATGACTGGCTTTAGTTTGTGTTTAGGTAAAAGTCACACAATTTATCGTTACTCCCTAAACATCAATACAGTGACTAGCAAAAATAGTCTATCATTCACCAATCACCAAACTGTCCTGAATAATAAACTGGACTGGGAAACGCAGGCTAAAATAGCCGAGCTGTGACTGCAGCTGAGCCAGGGAATTATACCAGATCAGCTACTTTGAACTGTTTTCTTTTCTTCAACTCACTGCCATTCAGTGTTTAGTGAATAACTCCCACGTTTTCTATACAGCGCTCAGATAGCTGTGCTAGTGCCCCCTGCTGTACGCACTGGGAAGTTACAACAATAGGATACTGTGACTGGCTGTGATAGTTGTTGCAATGTGTTAAGGAATATCGCTGGGAACCGAGGTCAATATCAAGTGTGTTGGTGTATTGTCATGGGATTTACTTTCTGCAGGTAGAAAACTCACACTGTGATTTATTCACTAAACCGTGAATGGTGGTGAACTGGAAACAGAATTGCAATATATACCAAAGTGACATTGGCTGGGAATGTAGCTGGACAGCTACATTGAATTCACATTGAATAACTGGCAATTCTCACTCAGCTGTGAGATCCAAACCGCTCAATTAAAAAAAACACAATTCTGCTATACTCACAGTTTCGCTGTTTCAGCCTAAATGAAGCGGCTTGGTTTGTAGTTCTGCAATATTCATGATGATATTTTATGGTAATTTTCTGTCACATTACTGGATACTAATAGGGTTTTTACTACACCAGAGATTTGGGGGAATTCACGAGGGAATTAATAGGGTGTGGGTTTTTTTATGCCAAAGTAGCCAAATCGAAAAACATTGGTTTATATTTTTCAAATTTGAGTATTTTGAACTAAAATGAAGCATAAAATACCTGGATTTAATGAGTACGCCAGCAATACGTGGATATAGGATTTGCACCATTTAGACGGGGCTATTCAATGAATGTCAGGAATTTAACAGAGACTGTAACAGGGTTAGTGACCACTCAGAGTGAATTTTAAATGTAAAATTGAAAAGTGAAAATAGCCGAAATGGAAAACTCTGCTTTCAGTTTGACTGATCTGGTCTGAAAATTCACTTTGAATTCTTACCTTAGTGAATACCCCTGTAAAAGTAGATGAATTAGAGAATTTCTATTTTTATATATATATAATTTGGCATAAAATGTACATCTTCATTAACAATTCCCAACATTTCCCAAATTTGTGAATATCCCGAGTGTTAATCATTCAGCTCTTTGAGTCTCACTAGTTAACCCTGTGATGGAACTGCCATGTCTTTCTCTGGCACTGAAAGAGTTAATGTGTGGAGCGATGGCGTCACCTCTGCAAAGTATACGTGTTTTTCCGCCTGCATTGTTTTATTTGTACTGATAAATAATAAAGCTATTTATTTGATGTGTATTTATGTCTTTGTTATAGTTTAAAGACTCCCCATGCCACCTCTGCTTTGCATCAGGATATGCCATGTGATCCTTTTATAGCGTTAAAAGGTTACTCTAACGTCTGTTACCATTTCTGCTTTTTGAAGTGGTGATGGTGGTAGGAGTATGTATGTGCAGTCATGTAGTTTTTAAACACCACGCATACAGGAATATTTTTGTGTGCCAGAGGCTAGTTACATCAGCGGTACACAATTAAAAATAGACATCCCGAGTCTCTCAGTAGCTCCATAGGCTCCCTGAAAGCCGCATATCACGTGTAATATTCCGGAAATCCTACACACAAGCTGACATACAATATGTGTGTGTTGATTACCAGGATATTTTACATGATTTGTGTTCCCCCAGGGGCCAGCTGGGGTGCTGCCCCTTTTAAGAGCTGACTGGGCCACTGTTTTATGAACAGGCATGAAGGAAGTGATGACGGACTATCACTTCCTCCCTGCCTAGAAGAGCTCTGCAGGGAGGAACTGAGGGAGGAAGAGACTGGAGCACACAGCTGCACGGAAGCAGAGGAGAGGCTGGAGTGAGTTGATACTGCATACTCACTCCCATCAGCCTCAGCCAGGACACAAAAGTAAACTAACAGGAGGGTGGCTGCAAATGTATAAAGTATGTGTGTCAGTGTTTACCCAAGTGTGTCTGGCAGATTGTGTGTGTGTGTGTGTATCTGAGTGTATGTGTCAGATTGTGTGTGTGCATTTGAGTGTGTGTGTCAGATTGTGTTTATCTGAGTGTATGTGCCAGTGTTTGTATCTGAGTGTCAGTGTGTGTATCTGAGTGTATGTGCCAGTGTGTGTATCTGAGTGTATGTGTCAGTGTGTGTATCTGAGTGTATCTGTATGTCAGAGTTTGTATCTTTATGTCCATGTGTTTATCTCTGTCATTGTGTATCTGAGTGAGTGTGTGTATGTATGCGTCAGTGTGTATCTGAGTGTGTGTATCTGTGTGTGTGTATGTGTCAGTGTGTGTATCAATGTGTATCTGAGTGTGTGTATGCAGCAGTGTGTGTATCTGTGTGTCAAGGTTTTCATACATGTTTGCGGGCCATGTGTGTGGTGGGGTGCACACACACATGGGTGGAGGTGGTGCAATATATGGTGAAGCCACCTCCCTGAAATGCATTTTTGCTTGTTGGGATGTCTGAAATGTAAAGGGACACTATAGTCACCAGAACAACTACAGCTTATTGTATTCATTCTGGTGAGTATAATCATTCCCTTCAGGCTTTTTGCATTTAACACTGTCTTTTCAGAGAAAATGCAGTGTTTATCATCATCATTATTATTATTATTATTATTATGTTATTATTTATATAGCGCCAACAAATTCTGCAGCGCTTTACAGTGGGTGGATGAACAAACATGTAGTTGTAACCAGACGAGTTGGACACACAGTAACAGAGGGATTGAGGGCCCTGCTCAGTGAGCTTACATGTTAGAGGGAGTGGGGTATAGTGACAGTAACAGAGGGATTGATGGCCCTGCTCAGTGAGTTTACATGTTAGAGGGAGTGGGGTATAGTGACAGTAACAGAGGGATTGAGGGCCCTGCTCAGTGAGTTTACATGTTAGAGGGAGTGGGTATAGTGACAGTAACAGAGGGATTGAGGGCCCTGCTCAGTGAGCTTACATGTTAGAGGGAGTGGGGTATAGTGACACAGTAACAGAGGGATTGAGGGCCCTGCTCAGTGAGCTTACATGTTAGAGAGAGTGGGGTATAGTGACACAGTAACAGAGGGATTGAGGCCCTGCTCATTGAGTTTACATGTTAGAGAGAGTGGTGTATAGTGACACAGTAACAGAGGGATTGAGGGCCTGCTCAGTGAGTTTACATGTTAGAGGGAGTGGGGTATAGTGACACAGTAACAGAGGGATTGAGGGTCCTGCTCAGTGAGTTTACAGGTTAGAGGGAGTGGGGTATAGTGACACAGTAACAGAGGGATTGAGGGCCTGCTCAATGAGCTTACATGTTAGAGGGAGTGGGGTATAGTGACACAGTAACAGAGGGATTGAGGGCCCTGCTCAGTGAGTTGACATGTTAGAGGGAGTGAGGTATAGTGACAGTAACAGAGGGATTGAGGGCCTGCTCAGTGAGTTTACATGTTAGAGGGAGTGGGGTATAGTGACACAGTAACAGAGGGATTGAGGGCCCTGCTCAGTGAGTTTACATGTTAGAGGGAGTGGGGTATAGTGACACAGTAACAGGGATTGAGGGCCTGCTCAGTGAGTTAACATGTTAGAGGGAGTTGGGTATAGTGACACAGTAACAGAGGGATTGAGGGCACTGCTCAGTGAGTTTACATGTTAGAGGGAGTGGGGTATAGTGACACAGTAACAGAGGGATTGAGGACCTGCTCAGTGAGTTTACATGTTAGAGGGAGTGTGGTATAGTGACACAGTAACAGAGGGATTGAGGGCCCTGCTCAGTGAGTTTCCATGTTAGAGGGAGTGGGGTATAGTGACACAGTAACAGAGGGATTGAGGGCCTGCTCAGTGAGTTTACATGTTAGAGGGAGTGGGGTATAGTGACACAGTAACAGAGGGATTAGGGGCCCTGCTCAGTGAGTTTACATGTTAGAGGGAGTGGGGTATAGTGACAGTAACAGAGGGATTGTGTCACGATTCGGGGAACCCAACACGCTGGCACACACACACACAAAAGGTGCCGTACCGGACCTTAGAGTGGCCGGGCTAAGCACACACAGAATAGTCAGGAGACAAGCCGAGTAAAGGGGAACCAGAAGACAGAATAACGTAAAACGAGCCGAGGTCAAAGGGTAGGAGAAAGTCACAGAGTCAGATAAACAAGCCAGAGAATACCTAACCAGAAGCACAAGGTAAGTAGCAATACTAGCAAGCAAAGACCACAACAGGGCAAGGAGGAACAGGAAAGGTAAGTATTTAAACCATCAGGTTAATTCTGATTGGATGATTTCCAATCAGAATTAACAATCACACGTGGGAGATATTTAGACCTCCCACTGTGATTGTGGCACTTTGCCTTTAACGCCGGGTCAGGTGACTGACCCCGGCGTGTATAAACCTGGGCGGTCTCCCAGCGTGCAGCGTCATGCATGCTGCCGCTGGGGGACGTGGAGGGAACGGCGGGCGGCATCCGAGGCTGGAAGGATGCCGCTCGCCATACCCACGAGGCGGAGGGGACCGCGGACGGCTGGAGGGTGAGTACTGCGAGCGGAGTGCAGCCTCCCCTCGCAGCCGCCCGCGGGAGCCTGACATTACCCCCCCTCGAAGACCGCCCAGGGGGCGGGAAGCGGAAGGCTTCAAAGGAAAGCGGGCATGAAAGGAGCGGACCAAAGAGGGAGCGTGCACATCGGAGCTTGAAACCCAGGACCGCTCCTCAGGGCCGTACCCCTTCCAGTCCACCAAATATTGCAGCCGACCCCTAGAAACACGAGAGTCGAGAAGGGCAGCCACCTCGTATACGTCGTCAGAGACAGCTCGAGGGGAAACGGGCCGCCCGAGGGGACGAGAGAACCGGTTACACAGCAAGGGTTTCAAAAGCGAGATGTGAAACGTGTTCGGGACACGCATGGAAGGAGGCAAATCAAGGGAGTAGGAAACGGGATTAACCCTACGTAACACCTTGAAGGGACCAAGAAACCTGGGGGCAAATTTCATCGAGGGAACCTTGAGACGGAGGTTCCGGGAGGACAACCATACCCTATCACCCGGAACATAGGAAGGGGCCGCAACCCTACGGCGATCAGCAAACTTTTTCTGAGCAGCTGCTGAACGAGACAGCGCAACATGGACTTGATCCCACGTCTTCCGCAAAGAGGCGAGGTGCTGGTCCAAGGCGGGCATTCCCTTGTCGGAGAACGCACCGGGAAGGACAGAAGGACGAAACCCATAAGCAACCTCAAAAGGACTTAAGCCAGTAGACGAATGAGACACCGTATTCCTGGCAAATTCAGCCCACGGAAGAAGGCGAGACCAGTCATCCTGGTGCGCATTAGTGAAGCAGCGCAAATACAATTCCACTGACTGATTAGCACGTTCGGCCGCACCATTAGATTGCGGGTGATAGGAGGAAGAAAACGACAAGGATACCCCCATCTCAGCACAAAAGCCCCTCCAGAACCGAGAGACAAATTGAGGGCCCCTGTCAGATACGATATCCTGGGGTACCCCATGCAATCGGAACACTTCTTTGGCAAATACCTGAGCTAACTGAACCGCAGAAGGCAGTTTCTTAAGCGGAATGAAGTGCGCCATTTTAGAGAACCTATCCGTCACAGTCAGTATCACCGTCTGACCATCAGAAAGAGGCAGGTCTACAATGAAATCCATGGATAAGTGGGTCCATGGTTTCTTGGGTATAGATAGAGGCATCAGAAAACCCTGGGGTCTCACATTAAGGGACTTACATTGCGTGCAGACCTGACAAGCCTGAACAAAATCCACTACGCCTCGCTTGAGTGAAGGCCACCAGAACTGTTGAAGGAGGCCCTTGTAGGTTTTGGTAACCCCCGGATGACCAGCAGTTTTGGCTGTGTGAAATAAAGTTAACAACTTTTTTCTGTCATTAGCTTCAACGTATAGTTTACCAACCGGCGTCTCAGGGGTGCCTGGGTTTGGTATGTCTTAATACTGTTAAGGAAAGGTGAAGAAACAACCAAACGGGTAGCAGCTATTATCTGAGACTCAGGTACAATAGGTTCAGGAGTCGGGTTAACAAATTCTACTGGTTCATGCTGCCGAGAGATGGCGTCAGCTTTGGCATTACGGCAACCAGGTCTATAGGTGATAACATATTGGAAGCGTGAGAGAAATAGAGACCATCTAGCCTGCCGGGCAGATAACCTTCTAGCATCAGCAATATAGGATAGATTCTTATGATCTGTTATAACCATAATTTTGTGTCTAGAACCCTCTAATAAGTACCTCCATTCCTTGAAAGCTAACACAATAGCTAATAGTTCCCTATTCCCAACATCATAATTCTTCTCTGAATCAGACAACCTTTTAGAAAAATAACAACAGGGATGGAGGGGTTTGTCATAAGACAACCTCTGTGACAGTACGGCTCCCACACCTGACTCCGAGGCGTCTACTTCCATAACAAAGGGAAGAGAAGGATCAGGGTGGTGCAGCACTGGAGCAGAGGCAAATGCCTTCTTGAGGGTTTCGAAGGCCTTAAGGGCTTCAGGAGTCCAAACCCTAGGATGTAGACCTTTTTTTGTCAACTTCGTTATGGGAGATATGAGTGGTGAAAAGTTTTTATAAATTTCCTATAATAGTTGGCAAATCCTATAAAACGCTGGATAGCCTTTAGTCCTTGGGGAAGTGGCCAGGACATTATAGCTTCCAATTTAGCAGGATCCATACTGAAACCCTGTTCAGTAATGATATATCCTAGGAATTGCACAGAGGTCTGATCGAATAAACATTTTTCTAACTTACAGTAGAGTCCGCTCTGCAATAGCCTTTTGAGCACCATCCTAACATGGTTATGGTGTGACTTCAAATCAGGAGAATACACAAGTATGTCGTCAAGGTACACTACAGCACAGACATGCAATAGATCCCTAAGGACATCATTTATGAGGTCCTGAAACACGGCAGGAGCATTACACAATCCAAAAGGCATGACCAGATATTCGTAATGCCCACTGCGTGTGTTGAACGCTGTCTTCCACTCGTCATTCTCCTTTATACGGACAAGGTTATAAGCCCCCTGAGGTCTAATTTGGTGAAGAATTTAGAACCTTTAACACGATCAAACAACTCAGTGATGAGGGGGATAGGGTAGGCGTTTTTAACCGTTATATTGTTCAGACCCCTGTAGTCTATACATGGTCTCAAATCACCCTCCTTCTTAGCCACAAAAAAGAAACCAGCACCAGCAGGAGAGGAGGACCTTCTAATAAAACCTTTTCTTAGGGATTCCTGTATGTACTCCTCCATGATTTGGTTCTCTTTTTCAGAAAGAGGGTAGACCTTTCCCCTAGGAGGCATAGTGCCCGGTAAGAGGTTTATGGCACAATCATACTCACGATGTGGAGGTAGCTTATCTGCCTCCCTCTTCTCAAAAACCAAGGCAAGATCCGCATAAACAGAGGGCACAGAAACCGAGAGTGGTTTAGCCGTGGGTACGTTAAGTAAACAGACAGGACGTACATGAGCCACACAGTCTCGCTGACAAGATTCCCCCCAGGAAAGTATGTCTAAACAACCCCAATCAAGAACAGGGTTGTGTTTAACTAACCAGGGAAAACCTAGAACGATGGAGGCTGTTGGGGAGTCAATTATTTGGAAGGTTAACTTCTCTTTGTGCAAAACACCCACAGACATAACTATTTCCTGGGTTTCATGGGTCACCAGAGGTTTCTCCAGTGGTCTACCATCTATGGCCTCAACGGCCAAGGGTGTCTCCTTTCGAATCAAATTCAGGGCTGCGGTTTTGGCAAAGGTCTCATCCATAAGGTTGTCTGCCGCACCTGAATCGATCAGGGCTTTGGTTGTTATAGTGGTTTTATTGACCAAGAGAGAAACCGTAATAAACGGTCTAGAGATGGACATATGAGGGGACAAAGTCATAACACCCGAGGCCGACCCCTCTCTAGGCCTTAGGTGCTGCAGTTTCCCTGTAGTTTAGGGCAGGCTTTACAGTGATGCCCCCTCTTCCCACAATAAAGGCATAACCCCTCCCTTCTACGGTACGCTCTTTCGGCCTCAGTTAACCCCGTAGCACCCAACTGCATGGGTTCAGGGGATGGCTGCACAGGAGCGGGTAACGCTAGCAGGGAAGTACTGGGTAGAGCAGGTAACACCCGTGTATCCAACCGTCTTTGGCTACGCCTCTCTCTAATACGGTTATCTATAAGAATCACATAGTCTATAACATCATCTAGAAGAGCAGGTAATTCCCTGGATGCTATTTCATCCAGTATATAAGCGGCCAGACCCTCCTGAAAGGCTGTTACGAGGGCGTCATTATTCCAAACCACTTCAGCTGCTAGAGTACGAAATTCGATAGTGTAATCTGCTACAGACCTGTTACCCTGTCGGACCCTAAGCAGAGCCTTGCCAGCAGAAGCAACCCTACCGGGTTGATCAAACGTGCGTCTGAAAGCTGTCAGAAAATCAGCAAAGGACATAGGAGACGTATTTTCCCAAATGGGGTTGGCCCATGCTAAAGCTCTCCCGGACAAGTGGTTTATCAAAAAGGCAATTTTAGATC